GATAAAATATTCCTCCCTGCTGGGGGCGGACTAGTCCCACTGATGCACCACCCCCACCCTACCTCCTATATTACGCTCTAAAATTATCCTGTGGACATTAGATTTTTCCAGCTCAATATTGAGGCTTCTGACACATCTTAGTGCAGTTTTTTTTCTCCCAAATTTTTATTATGTTCTACAGTAAAAATACATTTTATATCACAGTATCATACATATATATTTGTGTGTATATGTGTGTGTGTGTGTGTGTGTGTTTCACAAGACAGTCTTTTCTACTAACAGGTAATGGCACTGAGTTTGAAAAAATATCACTCTAATTTGATCCTTAGCCATCCAAACTAAAACTACCAAGACTGTTCTAAAATGAATTAAATAGTTCCCCTGGGGCCCCATAAACTAGATATGATTCAAAATTAGAAATAAACTAGCTTTCTGATAGCAAGAGGTGAAAATAGAAATGAAAGAGCTAATTAACTTCCTTTGGCCTCTTTACTAGAAAGCACAGACAACAGAGAAAATAGTAATCAAAGCCAATATCCAGGCTGAAGGGTGGATATCACTGAAAGACCTCCCAACTTTACTCTGGAATTTCCATTTCCGAGACTGGCCCTGAGTACCATTTTTTTCAATTTCTTCTCTAACCTTACTCCCTGTCTGAAAATATACTATTATTCTCATTGAATTCTGGCCAATTTCTAGTTCAAATTCATGTAACACTGAAGTTCATTAATCTCCATACCTTTGTTTTAAAGATTTATTTATTTATTTGAGAGAGGGAGAGGAGGAGAGAGAAGCAGACTCCCTGTCAAGCCGGGAGCCCAAGTCCGGCTGGGATCATGTATGACCTGAGCTGAAGGCAGATGCCTAACCAGCTGAAGCACACAGGCACCCCTCTCCATCGCTTTTTATACCGTGTGCCTTGTTTCATTCATCTCCGGTGAGTGTACTAATTCCCTACGTATCTCTATCATTATCTATGCATTATTCAAATACTTCTCACTGGAGGAGTTATTCTATGCCCATAATTTATGTATGAAACCAGTCATGATGCAATGTTGGCTGGCCAGGATTTCCTCATGAAAACTATAGTTAGATACCTAATAACAGCAAGATGAGAAGTTTATGTTTAATGATACGTCTCAAATATTACAAATTATTTCTCTCTTATGTACTCTTCAGTTTATGATAGAGACCAGTTGTAAACAAGGATTTAACCATTATTACACAATTTCCAAAAATTTATTATACACAGCTAAAATTTTATGAAATATATTCAGGCAAAGATTTTGAAGGATGATTTATTCTGTGTTTTACTTAAACAACAATTCAGTTATCTTACGCCAAGGGAGAAAATGACCTTAAATCTTTTTCAGTAGGGATTGTAGGGACTGGTTACAGATTAACATGCACACTTTTTTTCTAGTTTTACTTTTTAAATTTTATTTATTTATTTATTCATGAGAGACACAGAGAGACAGAGACATAGGCAGAGGGAGAAGCAGGCTCCCTGTGGGGAGCCAAAAGGCAGATGCTCAACCACTGAGCCACTGAAGTGCCTCTCTAACTAGTTTTAATATAGGTTATCATTTCTCCTAAGTGATGGTTTTTCTCATTATTAAAATGAGGGGTTTCAATATTATTTAACAGTTTTCCGTATGCTCGTGATAATATGATATGTCAGTAATTGTAAAAGGACATTTAATTATTGAAAGGCTGGTAGGTAAATTATTTGAAGATAATGTGATTTTCTAGAAAGAAAATCCAAGTTAGTTAAGGACTAATTAGCTAAATAATAAGAGAATTCAAAGTGTATTGATTCAAAAAAGTAAATATGGCCAATAATAACTTTATCAGTTTTGGCCAGTTGTAAATAATAAAATCTTTTCACAAAGCAAAAATGGTGAATGTAACTAGTAATGTCCTTAAGAAATGTTCAATAACCATATAAAGAAAGCTATACATATTTTAAAGAGAAGAAAAGAATACCACAAAGATATGCAGAAAAAATATACAAAAGGCTAAATGGTTCATTTTTATACATGAAAACTGATAACACAATTACTGAGTAAATGGAATACGTTTTTATTTTTTTAAAGATTTTATTTATTTATTCATAGAGACAGAGAGAGAGGTAGAGACACAGGCAGAGGGAGAAGCAGGCTCCATGCAGGGAGCCCGGGACTCCGTGATCCTGCCTTGGACCAAAGGCAGGTGCCAAACCGAGGAGCCACACAGCGATCCCAAATTCTGACAATTTTAATGTTTAATGTTCCTTTAGGTATAAACCTCAGAATGTTCTCAAATTATGGCTCTTCAAATGCTTTCCACCCATAATCTCTCAGAGGCTTCAGTTTAGCAGTTACCCAAATAATCACAGTAAATAATGCATGGTTTTGCAAAGCAGGTAAGGCAGCAACAAGGACAGTACTACCTGGAAAATCAGGCTAAAGTTCCAAATCTGATTTTCAGCATTGAATCTTTCTACCAGTAATTTAATACCTCAGACATGAACTTAATAAAATTGAGCACTCTCACTGGGCTGAAGAAGTGGGTGAAAGTTTCAAAGATCACCAGTTTTTGGAATTGTGGTTAACATCGTAAGTCAATATTTTGCACTCCAGAGCAAAAGTTTCACATATCAGGAGACAGAGAATAAATACCAGTATACTGAAAAGAATATTTTTGACTAGGAAACCAGATTCCAGTTCCAGAATTAGTCACATACTGACCTTGTATGTTATCTACCCCTCTCTGGGTCTCTATTTTTGTTTTTGTCAAAAGAAAGTTTGGATTACCTCATCCCATCTCTTTTTTTTTAATTCTAAAATAATTATACTTCCATGATTTTAACCCCATGACCTATGATGAATCTAAGACTATCTGTAGTAGGATCAAACAAAGTTCTGCTCATCAAAAATATACCGTGTTCAAGATCCAGTGTGATTGTGGAAATGATTATGTTAAATGCAGGGAGCCAGGAGATAAGCATTAATTAAACAAATAAACAAAATAGATCACTGAGAGCACTAGCATTATACATTTTAAAGTTTCTGATCTGCACAGTTATTAGATACATAATCACCATGTTAAATATGTCATGGACTGAATCACTGAATAAAAAAAAACAGCTTTTTTTGTGGGCTTATATATTTTTTAAATCTAGCTTCAAGGCTAATGAATTAGCACCATATCATTACATAAATCTGCTACGCTTTTCTCCCTTGAAAAGAATCAAATCGGTGGTCCTCTGATATTTTGTTCTTAGGACCACCCCATGCCCTTAAAAATTACTGAAGACCTTAAATAGCTATGGTTTATGTAGACTATCCATCAATACTTGCGGTATTAGAAGTTAAAACTAAGAAATTTAAAATATTTATTTATTTAAAATAAAAATAAACCATTTAAAAATAACATTTTTATTTTTAAAAGATTTATTTTCAAAAAAATGTGAAACGTCTATTTGTTCTTGAACTCATTGTATTGCCATTAGTTGTCTTGATTGAAGTATTTTAGGAAAATTCTATCTCACATAGAGATGTAATTGGAAAGAAAGAGTATTATGATAGGTTTTCAAATAATTGTGGATATTCTTGATTTTACACCGAAACTTGAAAAATGGCGATTTCTTAAAGGTTAGTTGTTGCCCTGTAGAATCTGAGGCCATATCAATGAAATTTTTGTACTTTGTTATGTTAAAATCCATCAGTATTTGTCTACTTTGAGTGGATCTTTAAGTGTGTATGATTTTGTAATATTATGCATTTGCTCTTTTTAAAGAACCGATTCACTTAATTCACATAATCATCCATATCTCTCAAGTATTGACACATTTATTTATATGATATCAAAAGCTCCCCATATTTCTTAATACCAACACCAATCTCATTATAAAAAGTAAGTATACTGAAAAGCTGTAAAATTTACAGGGGATCATGCAAGTTTTTAAAAATTCGAATTTACACTAGTGAGTTTGAACTTTATCACAAACAACAAATTATTGTTTTCTTTGAAGTCACAGCTTCCTTTATTAATTTTTAATAGCTACCTGCCAAAAATCTAAACCTAAGTAACCATAGTTTGTCAGTTTCTCTTTAAAGTAAAAATGATGCTGTATGTTAAATAGTAGCTTTTACAGCTTTTTTCAAATATCTAAAAACTTTCCTCAAGACCATGGCATTTCAGTATGAAGCAGAGGTGTTTATGCATGGTTTTCATTTTGTCACCAGGTGTACTAATAAAGGGCTGTACCCAAAGGTTAAGATTTAATAAAATTAATACTTTTTGTTCTTCATCAATAACATTCTTAGGTGAAACTGGAATTCTTTTTTTCTGGAATGCTTGAAATAAAAAAACAATGGCAATGGGGTGCAGTGTGGTGCTATTGCCTTGATTCACACTAAGGTCCAGCAGTTTTAATCATCATTGCTTTCGCTTCAATCAGTACAAATGTCAACATAGCAAAACCACTAATGATACTTAAATTTTGATGTCAAAAGCCCATGAGAATCTCAGGGGTTCCCAGGAGTCTTTGGTACACACTGAATTAAAGTGTTTTTGGGCCACGTTGGTGGCTCAGCGGTTTAGCGCGGCCTTCAGCCCAGGGCCTGATCCTGAGGACCCAGGATCGAGTCCCACGTTGGGCTCCCTCCATGGAGCCTGCTTCTCACTCTGCCTGTGTCTCTGCCTCTCTCTCTCTGTCTCATGAACAAATAAAGTCTTTAAAAATAAAAATAAAAAATTAAGTTTTCAAACAACATAAATGCCATTATAAACCTCCCACAATATTTTTTAAATTGACTGTAAGTACATAATAATGCAATAAATTGAAATGCCTAATCATTCAAGAGAGGATAAAATTTGAAAAAGACAGATTTAAAATGTAAGCATGAGAAGTGAATTTTTTTGAAATCATATCATAGTAAATATAACAGGGCATAGGAGGAAAGTAAATGGATTTTAAAATATGTCTTTAATCCTTTTAACCATTGTTTCCATACCTTGTAGTTTCTGGTATTGAAGTGGTTCCATCATTAGACAGTTTCTACTTCCTTGGCTGGCAGCTGTTGGAAATGATCCTAGAATGCAACTCTGGAATCTTTTCTCTGACATCCGAAATATATGACAGACAATGCAGTTAACCTCCTTCTCCTAGAGCTTAACCCTTTCAGTCTGAGTCAGACAAGAGCCCCAGTTTCAAAAGGGTTCTTGCCAATTGGAAACTAGTCACATGCCATCTTTTTTAGCCAATCATAGGGCCATGCTAAAAACAACAGCTGGTCAATTGAGACATCATTCTAACACCCCTATAATCACCACTAGCATATTGCTGGCTCTATCAGAGAGTTCTGAGGACAGTACACAATCCTGTCAAATCTTACAGCTTCCAACATGTAGAAAGAAAAAATTATGCTCAGTCTATAAGAGGGTTATGCAGTTTGACCCAAGTTTGACCCACTAAGTCAGAAGTTAAAATACTGATGAAAGAATTTAGATATGAGATCTTTATTTCAAGAAATACCTTTTTTCTTATTCATATTCATTTATGCAGCTAAAGAAAATGAGTAGGAAATAACCTCTACTCTAATAATTTGAGTGTTCTTTGTCAATACATAAAAGGGCTTTGCGATTCTTAAGTACCTGCCAGGGAAATGTTACAGTATGTAGCTAATATTTATTCAGCTTCTACTACTGTAAGGCATGCTTTTAGGCACTAAAAGTTTGAAGGATTTGGCAAACATTATTACATAAATTAAATTACTCACAGTATTTTTAGTGTTTGATTAAAACCTCTGATTCAAAAGGTTGTCGATTGGGGATCCCTGGGTGGCTCAGCAGTTTAGCGCCTGCCTTTGGCCCAGGGCACGATCCTGGAGTCCAGGGATCGAGTCCCACATCGGGCTCCCTGCATGGAGCCTGCTTCTCCCTCTGCCTGTGTCTCTGCCTCTCTCTTTCTCTCTCTCTCTCTCTCTCTGTCTCTGTCTCTCATGAATAAATAAATAAAATCTTTAAAAAAAAAAAGTTTGTTGATCAAATACCCAAAGGAAAAAAATCTGTAGCTACTTTTTGCCTTTAAATTATTCCTAATTAACAAATGTATTCAAACTACTGCAGCCCCATGCTCTTAGTGTACCTGTGACATTAGTAGATTGTATCTAATACTTGAAACATGAATCAACTGGGAGTTACATGACTCCTCAACAACTGCTAATTACAGGGCAATGACTGAGAAACTACTTGCTGAATCCCTACTGTTCCCAACCAGTCAATCTTGCAAGTTTTCAGGACTCAGCCTTCAGATATCTTCTCGATCATATTTACTCTCTAACTTTCATGGATTTTCTTTGTTTCAAATATACTCTTTATATGTTCATGAATCTCAAACTTATATTTCCAGTCTTGATTCCTTCTCTGAACTCCAGACTTCCATATCTAAATCTCTGCTCAACATACTCACTTGTATTTCATGCAGGCATCTTATATTAACATGTCCCAACCTTAACGATTAGTTCTCCCTAACCCTCCTGACTGCTACTTCTCACTCAGTCTCAATCTCAGTAAATTGCAACCATTCCTCACCCAGTTGGTCATGACAAAAACCTTGAAGCCATCCTAGATTCCTCTCCGCATCCAATCCATTAGAAAATTCTAGTTTCTATCCTCAAAATTCAGATCGGACCACTTGTACCATCTTCGCCAATACCACTCTAATCAATAACCTCATCATCAGTCATCTGAAGTACTGCATTACCTCCTAACTGGTATCACGACTTCCATGATTGGTCCCATTCAATCTAACCTGTATACAACAATTAGAGTGATCTCATTGAAATATTAGTCAGAATATGTTGCTGCCTGGCATAAACTCCTCAAGTGCCTTTTCAGCACAGTTAGAATAACATTCAGCTTGATCTTAGTTTAGAAAACCATATATAATCCTGCCCTACTACTTTGTTCTTTCCAACCTAATTTTCATTCAGTTCCAGCTACGTTGTCCTCAGCCTTTGTAGTTTCTATACTCTCCCTCTTTGAAACTCTTCCTGGAGATACTTACAAGTCTTGCTCCTTCATTCCTTTCACATCTCTACTCAAATGTCACTCATCAAAGGTCCTTCTCTGACCATGTTCTCTAAAATAGTGGCTCTGTCGTCTCTATTCTCAACCTCTGCCTACTTATTTTTCTTAGCCTTTATAGCTTGTTATCTCTAACTCTATATATCTCACATACATATATGTATGTACATACATATATAATAATTTGTTAATTTATTAGTAGAGTGAAAACATGGATTGTTGCCTCTTTAATGCTTACAACAGCAGTGTGATGAGAAATTTAAGTTCTCATAATATTTTTGTGACTTTTCTCTGATATTAAAATTATTTTTAAAGAAGAAAGAAAGAAAAGGACAAACCTAATGAAGATGACACCAAGGAAAACAATACAGTCCCCACGTTATTTTCCATAACAAGAAAGAAGGGATTCAGGAAAAGGAATCCATTTGGCTGGGTTTGTAGAAATTTCATCTTTCCAAATTAACTGTCAATAGTAGTTGACTCAATAAATATTCTTGGATATTTCTTATTATGCTGATACCTACAGCTAAACACCTATTTCATAACTGAGTTATATAACTATATCAGATTTCTAGGACTTGCAGCTGCAAGTTTGAAAATCTTATTTTAGTATTGCTTACTTCTTGTTAGATATGGCTTTACTGTATATATTTAGTAATTTAGATTCTGTAACATATTAAACAGATCCTAAAATGCTTGAAATTTGTCTAAAATAGATATTAATTGTGCCTTTCTAAATATTTTTTAAATCCTATTTAAAAGGAGAGGGCAGATGGTGGCAGAGTAGGAGCACTTTGCTTTATTCTATGAATACAACTAGATAACCATCAAATCATCCTAAATATTCCAGAAATCAACTAAAGAATGGCAGAACAAACTCCACAGCTAAAAACAGAAGGGAGGGCCCATTGAGAAGGTAGGAAGCGTAGAGACACAGTCTGGGAGAGAAACACATCAAGGCCACCATGGTGGTGAGGAAGCTGAGGACTTGGGGAAGGGCAAGAGACATCCTAGCACGCAGGGGAGTCCCCGGGAAAGGTAATTCCCCGTAGCCATTGGCTTGGAAAGCAAGGGTGGCAGAATTTTGTGACATCAGGCAACCAGTGGGGCTTAAAGCCTAGAATTTTAAAGGTCAGCAAGCTTGCTGGGACAGAGCCCGGAAAGCACTGCACTGCTCTTGGAGAGAAGGCAGGCAAACAACCTGTGGACATAAAGCCCAAAAACAGTGATCTGAAGAGGGCCTGGAGCATACAGTGGAAAGGTGATTTGCGCATCTTGAAATGTGTCCCAGAAAGGCAGCATTCAGAGAGAACCCTCCATGAACAAACAGGCAGGTGTCATTTCCCAACCTTGCCCCTCAGCATGAACACAGGGACACCTGTGGGAACCAGTGCGGCACATACTTACTACCTAACTTGCTTACACCAATGTCCACATGGACATTAACTCCATAAAGGAGCTAGAGTATAATGCTAAGTGAAGTAAGTCATCCAGAGAAAGACAAATACGCTATGATTTCACTCGGATGTGGAATTTAAGAAACAAAACAGAACAGCAAAGGGGAAAAAAGAGAGAGGCAGGCAAATCAGAAAATAAACTCTTAACTATAGAGAACAAACTGATGGTTACTAGAGTGGAGGTTGGTGGGAACAATGGATAAAACAGGTGATGAGAATTAAGGGGCACACTTGTTGTGGTGAGCACCGGGTGATGCATGGATGTGTTGAATTACTATATCATACATCTGAAACTGACATAACTGCTGGTTAACTAACTGAACTTAAAATAAAAACAACAACAACAAAAGACCCAATCAACTGGTGTCATGTAACTGGTAGAAAATACTGACATACGTATTTGCATGCAAAATAAATATTTGAGGAAAAAGGGATATGACAAAATAGAGTCAGAACGGTTCTTGATTTAATCAAGATTTGCTGATTTCCTGTTGCTGTACTAAGCATTTTCAGTACTTTGTTTCCTTAATCCTAACAATGTTGTGAAGTCTATACACTATCATTCCCATTAATCTGGAAAGCAAACTAAAATCAGGGAGGTTGAGTAAATTTCTCAAGCCGCAATATGACTAACAGAATTGGGATTGGGATACAATTTTTCTCATTGAATCATTGGTGACCCTAAGATCCCCTACCATTAGCCTTTTTCTTCCTGAAGTCAAATCCTAATTACCTTATTTAAAAATATCATCGGCAGTTTTATATTGTGAAAACAGAATCCCTTTGGGCTTGGTTACAGTTACTTGACTGAGAGACCAAAGAGGAACAGAAAAGGAAATTATATTTATTGGGCTCCAAGAAAGTAAAGGAAGTTGCCAATAGAAGAGCTACGACAGATTTCCTGATTCTAACTTCTGTGCTTTATAGTTATACTATAAATTATTTTTTTTAATTTTTTATTTATTTATGATAGTCACAGAGAGAGAGGCAGAGACACAGGAAGAGGGAGAAGCAGGCTCCATGCACCAGGAGCCCGACGTGGGATTCGATCCTGGAGCCCGACGTGGGATTCGATCCTGGGTCTCCAGGATCGCGCCCTGGGCCAAAGGCAGGCGCCAAACCACTGCGCCACCCAGGGATCCCTATAGTTATACTATAAAGTTAGTTAACTACTCAGGTAATTAGCACTGAAAATCTCTTACTTGATTTGCAAGAGGTGGAGTTTAGGATATTTTAGGGACAGGCATATCAGAAATAATTCTGATGTAGCAATAGGTGAGTATATGGATAAACAGGTTGTCCCATGTGTAATTATTTGTTTGCTTACTATTGTGACTTATGTTAATCATACTATTCATTAATGGTCAATATCCAGAGCAAATTTGCTAATATACTGTTTAAAGAATAATAACCAGTCATGAGAGAAAAAAAACAGCATGACCACTATTTCCATTCCTGTTATAGGAAGAAAATGAAGTGGACCCTATCAAACTCTGGGGAGAAAGAAGGCCAGACACACAGAATACTTTAGTGGAGCTATCAACTTTTGCCCTATAATTAGTGGTAATCTAACTGATATGTGTCTGCAAATGTCAGAATAAAGGTTAGGGAGTCCAATAAACATG